GAGAGTGTGACAATGAGTGAGGCAGTGAGAGTAGGGAATGTGGTGTGGAAGAGAGGTGTGGTCATGTGAAATGAAGTGATTTTGGGTCATGGTGTGGAAAGTGAGTTTGGGCATGAGTGTGGGAAAGAGTGTAGTTCGTGGCGTGTGGAATGGGGTGTGTAATGGGTGTGGGATGTGGTCTTGGGTGTGGAAGTGAGTGGTGGCCATGAGTGTGGAATGAGTTGTGGTCAAGGTTGTGAAAATGAGTGTGGGCATGTGGGTGTGGAAAGTGAGTGAGGTCAACGTTGTGGAAGTGAGTAGTGGGGCATGCTTGTGAACGTGGGTGTGGAATGAGTAGTGATCATAGGTTTTGGGAAGGATGTCATGATTGTGGGAAGTGAGTGTGGTCATTGGTGTGGAAATGAGTGTGGTCCCATGGGTGGTGGAAGCAAGTGTGGTCATGGGTGTGGAAGGTGAGTGATCATCATTGGTGTGGAAATAGTGTGGGGCATGGGTATGGAAAGTGGAGTGTGGTCATGGGTGTAGGTAAGTGAGTGGTGGTCATAGAATCGGAAGTGAGTGTGGACATGGTGGGAAGTGATGGAGTCATGGGTGTGGGACGTGATGTGGTCATGCGTGTGGAAGTAGTTTGGTCTTGGTCCATGGAAGTGAGTGGGGGCATGGGTGTGGAAGTGATTGTGGTCAATGGGTGGTGGAAGTAGCGTGTAGGCATGGGTGTGGGAGTGAGGTGTGTCATGGGTGTTTAAAGTGAGTGTCGTCATGGGAGTGGAACATGAGTGTGGCAATTAGTGTGGAAGTGAGTGTGGTTATGGGTGTGGAAGTGAGTGTTCTGGGCATGAAGTGAGTAGGGGGCATTGGTGGTGGCAGTGATAGTGTTCATGGGTGTGGAAGTGAGAGTAGGCTGTGTGGGATGAGTGAGGTGGTCATGGGATTTTAATTGAGCGTGGTCATGGGTTGGAAGGGAGTGTGGTCATGAGTGTGGAATGAGGAGTGGTCGATGGGTGTGAAGTGAGTGTGGTCATTGGTGAGGTAAGTGAGTGTTGGTCAAGGGTAGTGGAAAAGATGCTATTCATGGGTGATGAAGTGAGTGTTTGCATGAGTCATGGAAGTGAGAGTGGGCATGGGCGTTGAAAGTGAGTGGTCATGGATGGGTGAAATGATGAGTACATGGGTGTGGAAATGAGCGTGACATGGGTTTGGAAGTGAGTGTGGTCCATGGGTTTGGAAGGGAAAATTGTGGTCATCGGTGTTGAAGTCTTGGTCATTAGTGTGGAAGAGAGAGTGATAAGTGTGTGGAAATGAGTGTGGGCATGGGTGGTGAAAGTGAGTGTGGTCATGGGTGGTGGAACGAGTGTGGTCAATAGATTTGGAGTGAGTTTTATCATGGGTGTGGAAGTGAGTGTAGGTCATATGCTTTTGGCAGTGAGTGTGGCATTGGGTGAGGCAGTGAAGTGGTGAGGCATGCGTGGGAACATGGAGTGGGAAGTGAGTGTGGGTCATAGTTTGGAAGAGAGTTAAGGCGTCATGGGTGTGGAATGATTGTGGTCTTGGGTGTGGAAGCGAGTGTGGGGCATGGGTGGTGGAAGTGAGTGCGATCATTGTGTGGGAAATGGTGTGGGGCATGGGTTGGAAGGTGAGTGTGGTCATGGGGTAGGTAAGTGAGTGGAGTCCATCTGGGTGCGATGGAAGAGAGATGTGTCCAATGGGAGTGGAAGTAAGTGTGTGGCATGGGTGTGGCATGAGTGAGGTCTTGGGCACTGGAAAGTGGAGTGAGGGCATGGGTGTGGAAGTGATTGTGGTCAATGGGGTGGAAGTGAGTGTAGGCATATGGGTTTGGGAAGATGTGGACATGGGGGGGGGGGGGGGGGGGGGGGGGGGGGGGGGGTGTGGTGTGGAAGAGATTGGACATGGGATGTGGAAGCGAGTGTGGTCAGATGTGGAAGTGAGTGTGGTCATGGGTGTGAAAGTGAGTGTGGTCATTGGTGATGAAATGAGTGTGGTGTCATGGGTGGGAAGTATTGTATCATGGCAGTGGAATGGAGTGAGGTCATTGGAAAGGAAGTGCGTGTGTTTCATGGCGTGGAAGAGAGGAGGGGAATAGGTGTGGAAGTGAGTGTTGTCATGGGTAGGAAATGAGTATGGACATGGGTGTGAAAGTGAGTGTATTCAAGTTTGGGAAGATGAGTGTGGGCATGGGAGGAAGGGAGTTGGGTCATGGAGTGGAAAATGATTGAGAAAAGGGTGGGGAAACGCGTGAGGACATGGGTTAGGAAGTGAGTGTAACAAGGCGTGGAAGTAGAAGTGGATCATTAGTGTGGAAATGATGTGGGCTGGATGTGGAAGTGAGTGTGGTCATGGTGTGAAAATGAGTGGGTCATAGAAAGGCAGCGAGTGTGGTCAAGGGTGTGAAGTGAGAGAGTCATAATTTGAAGTGAGTGTGTCATGGGTGGGAAGTGAGTGTATGTCATTTTGCAGTAAGTGTGGCATGGGTGTGAAAGTGAGTGTGGTCTTTGGATTGGATGGACATGAGTGTGGGCATGGTGTGGAAGTGAGTGTGGTCATGGGTGGGGAAGTGAGTGTGGGCCATGAGTGTGGAAGTGAGTGTGTCATTGTGTGGGGAAATGAGTGTGGACATCGAGTGGGCAGTGAGTGAATCATGGTATGGGAAGTGAGTGTGTGCCTGGTGTGGAAGTGAGTGTGTCATAGATTTGGAAGTGAGTGTGGTTCATGGGTGGGGGAAAGTGAGAGAGTTCATGGTTTTGGAAGTAGTGGGGTACTTGTGGAAAGAGAGTGTGGCCATAGTGAGGAAGTGAGAGTTGGCATAGGTGTGAAAGATGGAGTGTGGTCTTATGGATCTGGAAGTGATCTGATGGTCATGGTGTGTGAAGTAGTGAGATGTGGTCGTAGGTATGGAATTGAGTGTGGTCATGGTGGGAAGTGAGTGGGTCCATGGGTTTGGAAGTAAGGTGTGGCATGGTGATGGAAGAGAGTGTGGCAAATGAGTATGTGAAGTGAGCCTGGGCAATGGGTTTGTGGAAGTTGAGTGAGGTCTTGCGAATGGAAGTGTATTGTGGGGGTCATGGGTGATGACGTGAGTGTGGGCATGTGTGTGGACTAGTGTGGGTCATGCGTGTGGAAGTGGGTGTGGCCCATGGGTTGGGAAGTGAGTGTGGCCATGAGTGTGGAAAGATGAGTGTGGTCATGAATGTGAAGTGAATGGTGGTCATTGGGTTTGAAAGAGAGTGTGGTCTTTCGTATGGAAGTGATGTGGACATGGTGTGGAAGTGGTGAGGGCATGTGTTGGACTGAGTGTAGGGGCATGTGGTGTGGAAGTGAGAGTGGGTCATGGGGGGAAAGTGAGTTTTGGTCTTGCTGTATGGAAGTGATTGTGGTCATGGGTGTGTAAGTGAGTGTGGGCAGTGTGTGGACTGAGTGGATGGGCATGGATGTGGATAGTGAGCCTGGGCAAGAGGGTGTGGAAGTGAGTGTGGTCTTGTCCGAAGGAAGTGAATTTGTTGGTCATGTGAGGGGAAGGCGTGTGGGCAAGGGTGTGAAGTGAGTGTGGTCAAGTGTGTGGAAGTAGTGTGGCATGAAGTGGGGAAGTGATGTGGTCATGGGATGAGGCAATGATTGTGGAACATCGGTTGTGGAAGTGAGTGAATCAGGTATTGGAAGTGAGTGTGGGCAAAGAGTGTGGAAGGGATTGTGTCAAGGGTGTGGAATGAGTGTGGTCATAGGTTTTGAAGTGAGTGTGGTCCCATGTTGGGGAAGTGAGTGTGGTCCAGGGGTTTGGAAGTAGTGTGGGATTGTTGTGGAAGAGAGTGGGGCACTGAGGTGTGGAAGTGAGTGTGGGCATGGGGGTGTGAAAGTGAGTGTGGACCTGGTAATGGAAGTGAATTGGTGCATCATGGGTGTGGAAGTGATGTGGTTCGAAGCTAACGACTTGAGTGGGACATGGGTGGAGCAGTGAGTGTGGTCATGGGAGTGGAAGTAAGAGTGCATTGGTGTAGAAGAAGAGTGTGGCAAAGATGTGGGCCGTGAGTGTGGGCAAGGGTTGAGAAGTGAGTGTGTCTTGGGTATGGAGTGAGGTGGTTAGGGTGTTGAAGTGAGTGTGGGCATGTGTGTAGGATGCGAGTGGTCAAGCGTGTGGCAGTTGGTGTGTGTCATGGGTGAGGAAGTGAGTGTGGTACATGGGTGGAAGTGAGTGGGAGGTCTTGGGTATGGACGATTATTGTAGTTCATGGTTGTGGAAGTGAGAGTGGGCATGTGGAGGGATGAGTGTGGTCATGCGTGTGGAAGTGGGTGAGGTCCTGTGAGTGGAAGTGAGTGTGGTCATGGGTTGTGGACGTGAGTGTGCCATGAGTGTGGAAGTGAGTGGGTTCATGGGTGTGGAAATGAGTGTGGGGCATAGGAGATGGAAGTGAGTGAGGTTAAGGGTGTGGAAGTGAGTCTGGGCTGCGCATGAACATGGTGTGGAAAGTGATGTGGTATCGGTTGGAATTGAGTGACAAGGGTTGTGGAAGAGAGTGTGTCATGTGTGTGGAAGTGAGTGTGGTCATGGGTGGGAAAAGAGTGTTTTCATGGTGAGGAAGCGGATGGGTCAATGAAGTGTGAAGTGATGTGATCAATGGTGATGGCAAATGAGTGAGGGCATGTGGTGTGGGAAAGTGAGTGTGGTCAAAGGTGGTGGGAAGTGAGTGTGGTCATAGATTTGGAAGTGACCTGTGGTCAAATGGTGTTGGAAAGGAGTGTGGTCTAGATTTAGAAGTAGAATGTGGTCCAGCATTGGTGGGTAGTGAGTGTGGTCATGGTTTGGAAGTAAGTGTGGGCGATGGTGTGGAAGAGAGATTGGCAAATGAGTGTGGAAGTGAGTGTGGGCGTGGTGTGGAAGTATGATGGGGTCCTTGGTATAGGAGAAAGATTGTGGTACATGGGTGATGAAGTGAGTGTGGGCATGTGTGTGGGATGAGTGTGGTCATGCGTGTGGAAGTGGCTGGTGGTCAATGGGTGTGGAAGTGAGTGAGGTCATGGGTGTGGAAAGTGAGTATTGGGTCCCATGATGTGGGAAGTGAGTGGGTGGTCATGAGTGTGGAAGTGAATATGGACACGGTGTGGAATCTGAGTAAGGATAAAGGATATGGAAATGATGTGGGCATGGGGGTGGAAGTGGAGTGTGGTCAAGGTTGTTGCGTAGGAGTGTGGGCTGCGTGTGAACATGGGAGAGGGAAGAGAGTTGGGGCATAGTATTGGAAGTGAGTGTCATGGGGATGGAAGTGAGTGTGGACAAGAGCGTGGAAGTGAGTGTGTCATGGGTGAGGAATGAGTGTGGGGCATGGGTGTGGAAGTGATTTGTGGTCAAGGGTGTGGAAGGAGTGAGGTCTTAGATTCGGAAGTGAGTGTGTCATGGGTGGGAAAGTGAGTGGAGTCATGGGTGTTGAAGTGAGTGTGGTCATGGGTGTGGAGGTAAAAGTGGGCATGGGTGTGAAAGTGAGTGTGGGCATGCGTGTGAACATGGGTGTGGAAATGATGTGGTTCTTAGGTTTGGCAGTGATTGTCATGTTGTGGAAGTTGACTTGTGTCCCATAGTGTGGAAAATGAGCGTGGACTTAGGTATTGGACAGTGAGTGTCATGGTGGTGGTAAGTGAATGTGGTCATGTTCGATCCCTATAGTTTTAATAGAATTGTGAGCCTCAGCAAACAGGTCAGCAGCCTCAGCAACTTCCTCCCCTTCAAAAAAAAGCCTTTAATCAGGTTACGTTCCTCTTGATGAATGTTCGAATCTGATGGCGAAGAGCTGTCAGGAACTGGTCAGCGCAACACATGAAGTCTCTAAGAGATTCCTAACTGTGGATCAATTCCTGAACACTCTATCCATAAGTCGTCAACAAACGAAAGAGTGTTACCTATAACTCTGAAAGGTCTTGCCGGCGTAAGTGGGTATACCTGAAATCTTTCCTTAAGAATTAGTGGTATTTTGATATTCTTTAAGGATTGCCTTCGTTAGTAGGGTTATAATTATATATGATATCCTGCGACAAAGTTGCATAGATATTTTAAGGCTGTATCAAAAAATAACATTCCTAACCTCGTAGCACAGGTGTCAGCAGGCCATTCACAGAGAGTACGTAATTTTCCAAATCCTGATAATTAAGAAGGTATGTCTTCACCCCCCCCTCTTGAAGGGAGTAAATTTAGGTGTTGAATATGTGCACGACTGCCCATTGTTCCATACCCTTCCTCTAATTGTTGTTTGTGTGAAAGTATAACTTTTTATTCTCTAATACAGCGAGATTTTTTCGAGCTCGCGATTCCTTTTCTCTCTCCTATTAACTCATGTTCTCTAGCTATTTTCCCTTCCTCACGTTCTAGCTCTTTCCTCACGATCAATTCACATCACCCTCTTTTTGGTCTTCCTCGCTCTCTTTCTAACTGTCCTTTCTCGGATTTCTCTCTCATTCTCTCTCTCTCCTTTTTCCTCTTCTCTTTCGATTCTCTCTCTCCTTATTCTCTTCTCTTTCCCTTTCTAGCTGTCTTTTCTTCTCTTCTTCAATTCTCTCTCATTCGAAGTCTTTCCTGGATCTTAGCAACTAATGAAAGATTCTAAATTTTATCCTGTTATTCTAACTTACTTTCCAATAAAAAACATTCCATCCAAAACTGGTATTCATCCATACTTGCAAGAATACATAAACTATCAGAGGGGAAAATGAAACGGTATTATAGAAAACGGAGTTCAATTCCTGCTCGCGATCAATCTGTGAAATAAACCAGAGGGCTTGCGATCCTGCTTCAGTTAAAACAATAAGTATTAATGAAAACGAAGGGTTCTATGCCGGACTCCCGAGCAAAACAGTAATAGAATGGGGTCACTTGACCATCCCAATCATCTCACCAACAAATCAAGAGTGTCCTATGACAGTTCCCTTGGTATAATAAAGAGTCAATGAAACAAGTTGTCACAGAAATCTAGGTCCCTAGATCTAATCCTCCAAAATGTTTCAAGCTACAAAAAAAGTGCAGAAATTAAATATTTTAACCTGCTGGACTTTGACTGTACAATAAAGTTGAGACTAACAATCAACCAAATCTTTTAAATTCCTGTACTGTAATATCCTACCAAATTAGAATGATGTACTCATGGCTGTGGTAACCGTCCTGTGTATGCGCGTTTGAAGGTTCCAATGGTATATTCGAGATGGAGATTGAATCTTGATTCAGTAGAGTTGATCCTGGCAAGGTCCCCACTTGTGAGGCTTACTCAGCCCTGTAACAACTTCAGACAGTATTACTCATGGTGACTCCTCCTCAGAAAATAAAAATAGAAAAAGAAATAATAATTCACAAAGATAAACACGATTTAATTAAAGCAAACAAAAAACAACAAAAACATGAAAGGTAAATCCTATTTGATAGAAAAATGAAAAATGAAATGAATACAATAACCATCTTGAACTCAACCTAATATCTTCAAGGGGTCTGGTGTTGGTGACACTGTTGATGAAACTGTAAGCCGTTGCATGATAAAGGGGGGGGGGAAGTTATCGCAGGTGTTTGGTGACCATGCCGCCGGGCTAGTTCTCACAGAGAATCGCCGTGTATTATTATACGATGACAGGAAAGCAGGTTCTTTAAACCGCCTGCAAATGCTGTGGAGTTACGTCCTGCCCTTCATACAAGTGCACAGGTAGTTCCAATACAAAAGGAGAAAGTCTCTGGACGTTGTCCCTTCTCCTGTTACTGCTTCTTGATTGCCCAGGTGACCGCCTCTCTGACATCCAAGCTGAAAAGACAGACAGGTTACCCACTGCTTTATAATCACTCTACCATGGTAAGTATGATCCTTAAAAGAATGTGGTGATTATTACAACAAGTCAACATAGAGCAAGGCTGAAAAGACTATGTTTATTTATTGATCAAAAGTGAAGCTTTTAAACCAATAAATCCTCTAGAATAAAAGGCAGGCATGTACTTACGTAGTGTTGGAGCTGTGAGTCGAGTGATTTACTGTTTGACCAGAGCCCCAAAACGTCAACTTTCTGGGTGGGTGGAAGGGGAAGAGGGAGGGGAAGGGATTTGGGAGCCTAGACTGACCGTACGGTTTAACAAGCATCCGACAATCAGGAACTATCACTTTAAGGTGAGGAGAAAAGGTGGAATATCGGAGCTAGACCTGACCTGACCTAACATAGTAGCCGCAATGAAACTATGTTACTAGATATTCCCTCTCTACTCCTATCTATTGAACTTTTCCCTCACAGTGGTCATGGGTGTGGAAATGAGTGTGGTAAAGGGTGGGGAAACGTGTGTGGTCATGGGTTTGTAGGTTAGTGTAAGTCATGGGCTGGAAGTGAGTGAGATTCATTAGTGAGGAGAATGAGTGTGGGGCATGGAAGTGGAAGTGAGTGTGGTCATGGGTGGGTAAGAAGTGTGGTCAAAGATTTGGAAGTGAAAAAAAAGTGTGTCAAGGGTGTGGAAGTGAGTGTGGTCATAGATGTTGAAAGTGAGGATGTGGTCATGGTGGGGAAGAGAGTGAGGTCAAGGGTTGGAAGTAAGTGTGCATGTTGTGGAAGAGAGTGTGGCAATGAGTTGTGGAAGTGAGCGGTGGCATGGTGTGGAAGTTGATGTGGTCTTGGTATGGAATGATTGTGGTCAAGGGTGTGGAATAGTGAGAGTTGGGCATAGTTGTGGATGTGTTGGTCCATGCGGTGGAAGTGGGTGTGTCAGGGTGTGAAGTGAGTGTGTCATGGTGTGGAAGTGAGGTGTGGTCATGAGTGTGGAAGTGAGTGTGGTCATAGTGGGAAGAATGTGGTTCATGGCTGAGGAAGTGCTGTGGTCATTGGTTTGGAATGAGTGTGGGGCATGGGATGGGAAGTGAGTGTGGTCATGGGTGGGGAAGTGAGTGTGGCATGAGAGTGGAAGTGAGTGTGGGAATAGGTGTGAAAGTGAGAGTGGTCATGGATGGGGAAAAAGAGTGAGGACATGGTGTGGAATGGTGTAGTTTATGGGTTTGGGAAGATGAATGCGGGCACGAGAGTGGAAGGGAGTGTGGTCATGGGTGTGGAAGTGAGTGAGGTCATAGATTTGAAGTGAGTGTGGTCACGGGTGGGAAGTGATTGTGGCCATATGGGTATGAAGAAGTGTGGCAATGGTGAGGAAGAGATTGTGGCAATGAGTGAGGAAGTGAAGTGTGGGCAAGGATGTGGAAGTGATGGTGGTCTTGGGTATGGAATGTGCATGTGGTCATAGGGTGGTGGAAGTAGTGTGGTCTTAGATATGGAAAGTGAGTGAGGTCATGGGTGGGGAAGTGAGAGTGGGTCATGGGTTTCGAAGTAAGTGTGGGCAATTGTTGTGGAAGGAGTGTTGCATAGATGCGGAAGTGATGTGGGCATGATGTGGAATGAGTGTGGTCTTGGGAATGGAAGTGTTGTGGTCATGGTGTGGAACAAGTGTGGTCATGTGTGGGGATGAGTGTGGTCATGCGTGTGGAAGTGAGTGTAGTCCATAGTATGGAAGTGAGTGTGGTCTGGCTGTGAAGTGATGGTGGCCCATGGGAGTGAAGTGAGTGGTGTCATGGGAGTGGAAATGAGTGTGGACATGGTGTGGAAAGAGTGTGGATAGGTGTGGAAGTGAGTGTGGGCAAGCAGTGTGAACATGGGTGTGAATTGATGTGGTCCTAGGTTTTGAATAGCGTCATTAATGTCGGAAGTGAGTGTGGTCCATGAGTGTGGAAGTGATGTGGTCATGGTGTGGAAGTGAGTGTGGACATGGGTGGGAAATGATTGTGTACATGGGTGTGGGAAGTGAAGTGTAGTCATGGTTTAGTAAGTGAGTGTGGGCATGGGGTGGAAGGGAGATGTGTCATGGTTGTTGATATGAGTGTGGTAAAAGGGTTGGGGAAACGTTGGTGTTCATGGGTTTGGAAGTGAGTTAGTCATGGGCGTGGAAAGTTAGTATGATCATTACTGTGGAAATGAGTGTAGGGGCATTATGTGGAAGTGAGTGAGTCATGGGTGTGGAATGAAGTGGGTCATAGATTTGGGAAGTGAGAGTTTTAAATCATGTTGTGGAAGTAGCGGTGACATAGATTTGGAAGTGAAGTTGTCATGGGTGTGGAAGG